GGCACAGCCAGTGGTGTCAGACACGAGCAGGCCGAGCGTACTTCCCCTCAAATAAGAAGAAGCAGACAGAGCGCGGTGAGCAGGCGCGGCCACGTACGGCTTTGAGGGTGCGAGGCAGAAAGCTGTCGGCATCGGCCCGTTCGTCGCAAGTGCCCAGCGCCACCTCGGAGAGCATGAGCAGGCCCACGTTGTTGCTGCGGCTGGTATGGCAGTAATTGGCGCTCTTGGATGACGAGTCGGCAAAGTAAATGCCTATCGCCACGCAGTGAGGTGGATAATATGCGTCAAATCAACAAGGACACACAGTGGGCACTGCATTCCCAACAAAGCCTCACCTTTGCCAAACATGTAGCCCGTCACGGGTGCCTCGGGTGGCGCAATACGCAGACCTACACATTGCGACAAAAAGGGCAACAAAGAAGAGTGAGCGAGACACAAAAGAAGAATCAACGAAAAGTTGGAAGCAAGACAAGGTGCGCGGGCAGCGGGTAACATCAACGACAAAGGGACCACGGCCACAAGGAGTACGGCGACCAACCCTGGGAAAGAATGCCACCCCAGTTGGTAAGACGGGAGCCGTGCCAGAGGAGTCGCTTGTTGTCGCCGCCTTTGTAGCCCGTATCCTTGTCAATGGCAAAGAGATCCATGAGCTCGAGCTTGTACTGGCGATGGGTGGCACCATGCGTGTTCTTGAGGTACTTTTTGACCATCTTGTACTCGTCCGAGGTGGGTGCCACAGGCCGCAGGTCGCAGTCGAGCGAGCGGTAGTGGCGGTCCTCGGGCGCCTCTGGTTCGCCCTGCTGCTTCTTGTCCTCGATAATCTTCATGGCCGCCTTGATGTCGTCCAATGCTTCGACCAGTTGAAGCTTGGTGCGAACGTCCCCAAGCGTGGCAATCACGGGGGGACGACGCATGCCTACAACAGCCCGGACGAAACCATGGGGTTAGAATGGCCACGCCAACAGCGCGTCACGCGCTTGTACGCTAATTTAGCAGATTCTGCAGCAGACTCGATTCAAGAACCGCTGCTGTCATCGAATCGAGCGCCAATACGATACGAACCAAAGGAATGGGGAATGCGCGTGTAAAATTCAGACGACGCTTCCATCAGCTGACGAGACGACGCGTTGGCCTGCAGTCCAGGAACGCCGCCAGCAATACATGGTGGCAGCAGAACACGAGCAACGCGAGGCGAAGCAATCGACAGAGGGCAGAAGGGGGTGAGGAGAGATGGTGGCTGAGCGTCGTGGGGTACGACAGGCACGGTAACAGGTCTGAATGTGGTCGTGCCTTGATCAAAGCCTCAATATCCTTCAGGGTCTGATAACCAGCACGGATCTGCTCGTGAGTGAGCTTGCCCAGGGGCATGCGCTTGATATCAAGCTCCATCTCAACGACGGCGTCGGTCAAACGCTGCACATCGAAAATCAGCTCCATCAGGGACTTGACGGGCGCCGGCAACTTTGACTCCTGAAGGCACAAAACGACGTTTGGGCATGAACGCGTGAGCGATTCGAGTCAGCTCAGGGTCTTCAGGGGTCAACATGAAGCAGACCAAATTAGGCAGACACAGAGACACAAAAATAGGCAGACACAGAGACACGAAATTAGGCAGACACAGACACACAAACACACTCCAGTACGTACGGGGGCCGGCGTATTGTCACCAGCGCCACTGCCGCTGTCTTGGCCTTCGTTGCCATCCGCGCCGTCGGCATCAGCCGTGTAATCCACCTTGATCAGATCATACTTGCCCTTGTGGTGGACAAAGCTGTTCAAAATGTCGTTGTGCCATTCGTTGCGGGTCTTGTCGCGAAACTTTTTGCAAAATTCATTCTTGCACAGCTCCAGGGACCCGCGTCCAAACTCCATACTCTGACCCCTACGCAGGCAGACCCATGGCCACACGCGACACACCCATGCCATGAGGCACACAAGGCCTCTGATCTGTGTGCGAGATGGCATTTCAACGCTGTATGCTGTCAAGCATGCCGTACCGTCCACCGACGCGGCCCCAGTAGCCCCATACAACATAGCTCTTACTGGTGTCAGACTCCTATGTGACAAAACATTGGGATTAAGATTGGGCA